ATATAAGATTAAGAAAATTATGAAAAAAATAAAAAGAAATTGAATTTGATAAAGATTGGATATAAAGAACAATTAAATGCATCCCAAAAAATATTAAAATATTTTAAAGAAAACATGATGTAAAATTTTACTAAGGGAATAGTAAGATCTATAATAATAAAACTCGTGCTTTAATAGATTATAGAATCAAATATATACATGTTACTATTATAGAATCAGATATAACAACTTGTATTTTAATAGATACAAGAAGTGATATAACTATATTTAAGAACTTCTTAATAAAATCATGGAATAATAAAAGTAAGATAAAAATAACATGAGTAACAGGAGAAGATACTCAAATAATAAATAGTGTTGAAAAAATTAGTATAAATCTTGGAAGTAAATAAACAATAATAAATAGAATATATAGTTATGATAAGTTAGAATGTGATATCTTATTGGAAAATGACGTTATGCAACAGTTTCAATATCATAAACAAAATAATTATATAACAATGTTACAAACCCCTTGTGGACATTTGTTAAAAATATCAAGAGAATTTACACCTTACAGAGTTCAGCCAACCCAACGTGGTGATAGATTAGAGAAAAAACTAATTGTGAATAATGAGATAAAAAATAAAAAAATAATGTACAAAAAAAATCCTAAAAATAGAAGTAGAAATAAGTATAGAAAGAATTATAGAACAATTAGAAAAAGTCTATGGAGAAAATTCATTGATATTTTGGAAACTATATCATCCTAGAGCAACAACAGAATTAACAGAAAATATAATTATAAGAGCTAGACCAATGATGTATATTTTACAAGATACGCAGAAATTTAAAATCCAAATAAAAGAATTATTAGAATAAAAACTTATCAGACCAAGTAATGGACCCCATAGTAGTACAACTTTTATGGTAATGAAACATTTTGAGCAAGTCAGAAGAAAAGCCAGAATGGTAATAAACTATAAAAAATAAAATAAGTATACTATATTTGATAGATACTTTTTACCAAATAAAGAAGTCTTGATAAAC